AACTATACTAAACGAAAAACTTAAAAAAACACTAAAAAAAGAGACCGCCGGAAACCGGCGAAAAAATCCTGAAGAAAAGAAAAGAAAAAAAAAAAAGAAAAAAGCAAAAAAAAAAAAAAAAAAAAAAGAGTCAACGCCGGAGACCGGCGTTGACCGCCGGTCAACGCTGGAAACCGGCGAAAAAATCCGGAAGAAAGAAAAAAAAAATAAAAAAATAAAAAAATAAAAAAGTCAACGCCGGAGACCGGCGGCAAAAAAAAAGTTTTTGAAAAAAAAAATATTTTTTGAAAAAAAAAAATTTTTGGGTCAAAATTTAATAATTTGTGAAATTTGGGGTCAAATTGAGATTAAATTAAGTTAAGGATGAAATTGGAGCATATTAAATTATACTCCAAAAAAAAGTCAAAATTGAATTTTTGTGGTCAAAATTGAACTTTTATGGACAAAATTGATTAATTTGGATTACAATTAAGAATTGGGTATAAATGGTTGAGGGTAATATTGGGATATACATGAATGTTTCCTTTAGTTATAATAAATATTAAAGGGATGGGCTTATTGGTAAAAGAGATATGTCCCCTAAACCTAGAATAATAAACATGCTTGGTTGGGGACTTTTGCATAAAAATCCCTACATTATATATCATGCCCTGTCTTGACTTCTAGCCATGTTTTTGATTTAGGAGAAGAAGCTCCTGACAGTGTCCTGAGAAGGGTTTTTCTCAATCTTGAAATGCTCAAGAACAACGGTGACGAATTTGTTCCTAAACTTGAGGAGAAGTTGAAAATAGTTGTAAGTTATGCATGTGAAATCTCACATTCTAGTAAAATATATATATATATATATATATATATATATATATATATATATATATATATATACTACTACAGTTGAACCTCTATAAATTAATACAGTCGGGAATAGGGAAATTCTATTAATTTAGCGAATTATTAAATTATCGAGTTAATAATTGAACATATTTTCACCGAGTCGGGACGAAGATAAATTATTATTTAAACGAGATTATTAATTTATCGGGGTTCTACTGAATAATGTATAGGTTGCTGGTGGAGACGGTACAGCTGGCTGGCTTCTTGGTGTGCTTTCCGATCTGAAACTGTCCCGGTCTCCACCCGTTGCTACTGTACCTTTGGGAACAGAAAATAATGTGCCTTGTGCATTTGGTTGGGTAAGAAAAAGGCGACATTCGGCATTTTATTAAAGTTATCCCCATAAGAATTAACGGAATTCCACTTTTCCCCTTGTACTTTGGCTCGATATCACTTTATTCCTTCTACTCTCGATTGCATTGATTTGTCCCATTGCACTTAAAAAATTGTCTCAATGTGACCCTCGCTGTTAATTGTCAGACATTTGACCTTAACACCGTTTGGCCTAAGCTATGAAATTACTACAACGCCACCCCTCTCAGTTTAAATTATTATTAAAAAACAAAAAAAAAAAAAAAAAAATAATTCAAGACAACGAGAAAGCCTAGTCCACGACGGCAGCCACAATTTATTATTTACTTTTTTAATTTTTTTAATAATTATTTAAACTGGGAGGGGTGGTTTTTTTGTATTTTCAGACTTAGATCAAACGGTGTTAAGGTCAAAGGTCTAGAAACTAACGGCGAGGGCCACATTGAGACAATTTTTCAAGTACAGGGGCAAATCGATGCAATCGAGATTAGAAGGGGGTAAAGTGATATCAAGCCAAAGTACAAGGGTGTAAAGTGGAATTTACCCTGATAATTAATATACATTATGTCTGAAAATTTACTTTATGTCTGTTGTATTTGAAACGCGTGCTGTTTAGTTTGTTAAACATCTCGAATTAAATTTACATCACTTTCAAATACGAATTATGAAAAAAATTATCTGAAATATGTGAACTGAGATATCTGTCATTGGACTTCCACATTACATCCTTGTTTTATCACGTGTACACGGAGCTAGTTAATTCCTTTGAGTTGGAATTTCAGGGTAAGAGAAATCCTGGTACTGACCGTAAATCGGTGATGTCGTTCTTGGAACGAGTGCGGAAAGCGAAAACAATGAGTCTAGACAGGTAACCAGAATCGCGATCCTGGTTTTATTCACATCCAAACAATTGCATTGATCTCCCATCGAGTTATGGTTGTTAAAGAAAACATATGGTTATCTTTTTCTAAACATCAATTCCAAACTACAAAAAAGTATATCTTAATTAACCATCGACTATCTTGCAACGTGGTTACTCTTAACTTAATTTGCAAAGAAAAGATTGTTTCTTGACGTATTTTTTTTCCAGTTGGCACATTCTCATGCGGATGAGAGCACCTAAAGGAGGGAGTAATTGTGATCCAATTGCTCCACTAGAGTTGCCACATTCTTGCATGCATTCGGCATTCCGTCGGGTTTCCTCAACAGATGATCTCGACGTGGTAAGTGAGAAGCCTTTTCTTCAGCCCTTTGTCCATTCAGTTGTTTTTTTTATCGCCATTCAGTTGTTAAAGAAAACATATGCATATATATGGGTTCCTTCATTACCACACAAAAAAAAGTCATAGTTGAATAGCAAAAGATAAATATAAGTGCATTGGGTAAACCTACACTCTCGTATAATAGCTTGCAAACCATATCAGAGAGGTAAACAAACCATACTAGGCTAACCATGTGCTCCACCTAGCGGCCGTTGACAAAGGCTCACTTGCTCCAACCGCTAGGCCATCCCTTGCGGGACTTAACTATAACTTTTTAATGTGTGAGTAAATTGTTTCAGGAAGGTTACCACACATTCCGTGGAGGATTTTGGAACTATTTCAGCATGGGTGAGTTAGATTTTTTACCATGTGGACGAGTTCTCCAATGAAACACAAAGACATTTAGTTCGAAGTAAAACAATATTTATTGATTTTGATTTTCAAATATCATATTCGAATACATATATTATGTTTTTCTTGTCTTCAGGAATGGACGCACAAGTGTCTTATGCATTCCACTCCGAGCGCAAACTTCATCTCGAAAAAATCAATAAAAAGCTCATTAATCAGGTAATAATTGTACGCCACATAGTCGGAACTTTGTTTTCCCTATGAATTGTGTCGTAAAGTTTCTCATTTGCCTCGTAGAGCACATATGCGAAACTTGGAGGCACACAAGGATGGTTTTATCCTTCTCTCGCTCACCCCTCCTCAAGGTGGGCTTATTATCATATATACATAATCCGCAAAAAGAGATTTAGGTGAAAAGTATTGGAAAAATACATTTTTCATCCCTCAAGTTTGCAACGATTTCACATTTGGTACCCAT